TTTGGATGTTAGTCAGTCTATGAGAAAGATAAGACAACTCTGAATTCAAAACCATGGAGAAGGCAATGGGAAACCAATCCACTATCTTTCCTGTCATGGCAATTCACTCATAATAAAGAATTGGGGGATGATTGCCTACATCCTGGAAGGATATGGCATTTAAGAATATTTTAAAATAATTGTATATATTTTTTCCTTCCAGAAATAATGATAAATATACTGCTATTTATAATCATTAAAATTAATAAAAAAAATTTAAATTGTTAAAATGATATTAAATTGAATTTTCAAATTTATTTGGTTAATGCATGATCATAATCAATATTTGTCAACAGTAATCTCACTTGCCTGATAAATTTGAAAAAAATATCTTATTTTTGTACATATGTAACTTAATAGCATAAAAAATATGACATTTTATCATAACCAATCATTAAAAATGAATTTATTCTTGTAGTGTAATTTAAAAATTAGCTCTATATTTGAATCATAGTTGTCTGTAATGGTATATCTTGTAACATATACTGAAATATTTTATAAAATAATTTCAGCTGTTATTGCCATAATCATATTTTTTGGATGATTACATTTGGTATCAATTTTCATTAACTGAAAAACAATTCTGCTAAAACAGTACTTTTATCACTTTTTGACTATTACTAGTTTTACAGAATTTACTTACTTATACAACAAAGAAAAAAGCAGAAAAATCTAAAAATTATATCATTGTAAGCCAAAATAATTTAAAACTTTATCTCCTATAATGTTGATTCAAGAATTCAAAAATAAACTGAGAAAACAAAAATGATCAATTTATTTTGGTAAGTGAATCTTTGGTACAATTTTTAGAAAACATAAAAGTTAATGAAAATATTAACTATCAAATGAGCAAATTTGTCTTTTAAAATTTTTAAAGATTACCTTGAGACTATCTCTCACTCTTGTTCTTTCTTTCTCATATATGAGAGAGAGAAAGAGGAAAAGCCACCAATTTTTAGTTTTAGATTAAAGTTTAAGGTTCAAATAAAATTATAATTTGTTTTGAGATAAACCTAATACCATATATATGTGTTTGCTATTCAAAGTATAAAAAGACAAAGTAGATATAAAACCTAATGAAATAGTTTATTGTAAAACCTATAATATTATTACTAAACTTTCTCCTTAATGAAATATCTTAAAATATTACAATATTGATTTGTGTAAACATTCAATAAACATTACATACATGTTGATAATTAACAAATGAAAAGTAGGCCATGCAGAATGGTTGCACTTTAATATTTTCATGCATCATCTAATGATTTTTTCAAGAGTAAATCTTGTAGAAGTTTCTTGAATAATAGAACAATTTAATTTGTAAAGATTTTTTCAAGCAGCACAATAATTTCTTTCAAAGATTTGACAAAGCCATTGTGCCATGCTTCTAAATATGGGATTTCTACTGTTCATTATTCTACAGCTGTAAGTCATTACAGAATATTTAACTAAAATTTATATTAATAGTTACAGTGTTTTCTAATTTAAAATTATTTTTTATAAACTTTGCTAACCCAGGTATGATTTATTGTTCTTGAACTTGCTTATTCTAATCTGTATGGAACATAAATTTTGCTCATATTCATTAAATTGCTTAAGTGTGATAATACAAATCAGTACATAATAAAATTTATCTGATAGTTAATCATTTGTCTTTTCTCTATAGCATAGGAAGTATCATACACATTTTAAAAGTTCACTTCTTTCAATAATATATATTTTACTAATTTTAATTATATTTAATAAAATATAATCTTGTTTAACAATAAAATATAAATATAATTTTGTTATTTCATGCAAATTAAAATTGTTAAATTTAAAAATAGAATTAAATGCCTGTATCATGTTATAGAAGGCATACAAATTTGTTAACATGTTATATTTTTGTTACCTTATATTACTTTATGCATTCATTTATTATTACTGTATTATTATTATTGTTGTTATTATTATGATTATTATCATTATTATTATTATCATCATCATGATCATCAAAACTCAGAAAACACTTTGGTTAGGAATTTGTAAATGCGAAAAATTACTTAGATAAAATATTAATCAATATTTTTAAAATTTTGGAAGCAAATTTATTGGATCAGATCCAGGTTTACCATATGAAATATTGGCTGGTTTATCTTCTTTGAAGCAAATGTATGGTATGCTTCAAGGAAAATAAACATTATAAATGATAATGGCTGTTTCTGGATCTGTCCTCTTTGGCATGTTAAGCAATGAGAAAGAAACTGTTTGGGTAGCAAAACAAATAAAACACATATACATACGTTCTGCCTGAACACAAATTAAAATTAACAACAACAAAAAGAAAAAAAAAATCCAAAAACCAAAACACAGAAAACAAAAAACACAAAAATTATAATACATCAAAAGACATGTTAACAAGACAAACACAAATAATAAAAAAATTATTTTTATAAAAATTAAAACTTTAACACAGAAATAGTAAGAAATCTTTGATGAGAAGATATAAAATGTGATGCTTTGGAAATAATATTTATTTGGAAGAAAGTATTATAATAGGAAATAGAAATCATATAGTAATTAAATGATAAAATAGCATATTACATATGTAAACATTTTAAAAGTGTGTGTATCACTGACACTTTCTTTGGATAAGTATAAACACATCTCAAATTTTGTAAATAGTTCAATTTAAAATTTCATTTAATCACTCATTTCACTGGTTTGTAAAGTGAGAGATTTCTTATGACCAATAGCAAGTGGCATTTAAGTTATGTAACAATTTTAGTATCTAATATGATATAAGGAACTGAAATCTTCATCCATCAATTTTCTCAATCTGAAATAAATAAACATAATGTTTTCATTCATTTGAAATAAAGTAGGATACCTTATTCATATAATCAGGATTTGCATTAATAAAGAAAATATTTGTTTTATAAAAATATACAAATTAAAAAGAAGGAATTCTAATTATTGACATAAATATAGATATACAAGTAGATACACTGAATGACATATATATATATATATATATATATATATATATATATATATATATATATATATATATATATACATAGCTATATTTATATATATATATATATATATATATATATATATATATATATATATATATATATATATATATATATACACACATATACATACATATATATATATATATATATAATTAACAATCACATACAGTTACATTAACAAATATATGAAAATCAATATAGACAGTTTTTGTATGTATGAAGCATCAATAATCAGTTGTATATGGATGTGGCAATGAAATAATTTTGTAACTTTCTCAGGTTTTATACATATGTGGTTCCTATGAAGATCTAAAATATGAATAAAGGAGGCAACTTTTGTAAATAAAATTACTGTTAATTAATTGGAGTAAAGTTTTCAAGAAATATAGTCCCAAATCTTTTATACACTAATTCATTTGAAGTGGTGTCTTGATCTTGGATATTTTTTATTTATGTTTTAGCTGCTGCACTGTCCCATATGCTGCATATTTGCATTTGTTGTATTTGATTTTTGTAATGTCATTCTACTCATTCTGCTTGGTGAAATATGGAGAGAAAAAATAGGGAAAGGAAACAGCAACCTGGAGATAGTCAAAATAAAGCAAGAGTTTAAAATAAAAGATTTTTTAAAAACTTTTGTTTTATTTTTACTACTTCAATGTATCTGCTTGTGTATAAATATGTATACTGATAATTAGAATTCCTTCTTTTGTAATTTTCATATTTTTTAATTTAGTGGAATGAGCAAAATCAGCATCACTAGGACCAAGTACAAGAGACACCTGAAGAAGGTAAAAAAATATAGTGGTTGAAATATTGTGCATATAAAAATAGCCAACATAACAACAACAGATTTTTAGTTTTTAATGATAGTTCCTCATCTCAAAAATGCAGACAGACATTATCATATGTCTCCCATGAAATTCAAATACCTACAGGAATATAATTTTAGACTTATTAAAAAAACAAATAGATGTATTCCTTGATATTTGCCAGAAAAAAGTAGCACAAATTAATATATTTATCAAATATTAGGATAATTAATTATTAGTGAGTCATGTAAAAATTAATGTTAAATTATTATGGAATTTTGCTAATAAAAAGTTATAATTATTGCCCTTTTAACACAAATGTTTTTATTTTTGATTTAAATAAGTCTGTTTAGTGGTTGCCTGGTTGTACATATAGTCTTGCATTTTAAAGATGGCTCAATGCTCATAATTACTATTTCAGTTATTTTCTATATATATATTTCTGGATGGTATAAAGCATGTAATATATTATTTAATTTCTTGTTTGCAAACAAAAACAGCTGTAATATATAAATATATTTACTAATCTGCTAATCTATGCTTATTTAATCAAGACTTGAAAATAATAACTCCGAAAATAATATATTAAACTGATTAAATTTTTAATTTTTGAAAAGTAACATATACTCTGGACCCTGCAAAGGAATATTTTTTGTAGTATACAGTTTGGCTAAGGGTGATTGACCATTGTTACATACAGATAATGGGAATTGTTATAATTAAGCTACTATATAAAGATATTATCTGTATTTGAAAAGTGCAAGTTTTATTATATACTAGCTAGTCAATTTTACAAGCATTGCCAAAATTATGCAGATCTTTGATTTTAATATCTAAATTTCATATTCTATTGAAGTGTTTAAAAATGTTTAAGAATTATTTTCCCAAAATCAATATTATTAACAATGATAACTCTATTTCTTTTTGATAGTGATAATAAAGATATCTCTTATAAACTGCCATCAACCATCCTGTTTAATTTTATTAAAGTTGTATTTTTTTCAATTGGCAAATGCCAGTTGCATTACTATACAATAAAACAATTTCTCTATTTTCAAATACAAAGTTGTTTTTATTATTTTTATAATCAGCAATGTAAACTTTCTCAATGGATTGATTTAAAACTTACTTTTAACTGCTTCATCATTCATTAACTCGAGTCCTGCAAAACAGAACAAAACAAATGTTATTGACTATGCAAACAATTTTTTGATTCTTTGTCCTTGTATATTCATTTTAAATTTTTAAGTTTTATTCAGTAGGAAAATAACTTCTTTGAAACTGCAAAACCCAACATAATTTTTCTGTTGGAATTCTATTAACTTTTTTGTTTTAAAAAATTAATAAAGAGCATGTTGCTCATAATTTGACACTTTTCTAATGTATTTTCAGACATATTAAAGTATATTAAAACTGATATTGATTAGAATCTTTGGAAAATAAGCATGAATGTAAAGTGGAATTTTGAAATGTCATCAGTTTGCATTCAGTTCACTCAATGTTTCTTTTTTCTGATTCTTTCAAAAATGCCATTTTTAAAAATCACCTTTTCTGACATTTTTTTTATTATATGTTTTATATGACATTTTTCCTATTATATGTTTTTTCACATTGTTAATTCCATGTCTGTCTGAAAGAAAAATGAAATGATCGTACTTTTCAGATCTTTTTTTCTCAAATGATAACTTAAATTAAAATTGTATTAATTGCTTAAAAATATTTACTCATGTTTGATATTTACCATGCTGGTTGAATTTGTCATTACAAATGTATAAAGAAATAGGAGAAAGAATAAAACATTTTGCCTAAATCACAAAATAGGCAAGTGAATGCTACCTAAATCTTATGAATAAAATGAAGAGAAACTGTATTTGTTAGCAAAATGTTTCAAAATAAATGGGTTAAAAGTTACCTGTGAAATAAGGTATAACTTACCTTCACTTAGTTCATGACCTGTAAGTATAAATTGAAAATAATCAATACACCCAATTTTACTAACTTAAATCAAACTTTATACAATCATTTCAACCAAATAAAGTTGAAAAGGAAAGTAATCATTCTTATATAGTTATTTTTTAAAATGATCATTTATGAAATTCTTAAGATTGTTAGAGTTGTTTAAAAAGTTACATTTTGATCAAGGTGTGCATCCTTAGAGGACAGAGGTGTCAATAATTACTACTTGATGAAGGGTCAGCAAGTTGTAGATAGCTACTCCAAAATATGTGTATAAAGTTACTCCTAAAGTTATGTAAAATAAAATAACTGTAGGATTAGCATTACAGACAGATCCTAATAACTGTATAATTGTAAATCTAGAATGAGTAATAAGTTATAAATGATCCAACAAATTTACATGGTATTTTTTTTTAAATAGTTAAGAAAAATTTACATTTTTTTAATATTAAGAGATCTCTTTCAACACCTTCCTGTCTTGTAGTTTAAAGATATCATAATTAATATAACATCTTCCTTGGATCTTTTCTTTTGATGTGTGAGGTGATGGTGCTAACACTGTTTAAAATGTGATGGATATTTTCACTTTTTGCAATATAGTCTGCATTATTTATAATATGAATTCTGCTATCTTGGTGGATTTGCTTGTAATGCATCAAGTCCATGGAAAATGTACACAATTTTGATAATTAAAAAATAGGAATTAACAAGCTAAATATATTAAATATTTCTTTTTACTTTCCATTCATTATCTGATGAGGTGCATGTACTGAAGTATGTTCTTTCATCCAAGTACAGCTACTTCAAATATATAACATCTTAATTTAAAAAGATTTGCAATATTAGCATATCACTTATACAGTCATAAGTAAAATGACATTTAAAAAGTACCAATTTGAAAGATACTGCATGACTTGTTTGAAAGCAAACTGAATAACATATTTCTCTACCTTTGCAATGAATAGATTATTTTTTATCTGATTTGATAATCACTTTTACTGTTGTCTCACTTTTCTATAAATCTTGCTGTGCTACATTTTGTTATATTTACAACATTAAATTTTCAGGTCTTTTAAATAAGGCATACTGTGATTTGAATTTTTTTTATCTTCCACTTATATAGAATCAGATATAAAATAAACTTTTTACTTCACTCAAACTTTTTATGGATTCTCAATAATATAAACTGGTTTTGAGATTCAAAACATTTTTGATAATGAAAACTTGTCTAAAGTGTGAATTTATTTTATTGCAAAAGACACATTATTATATTCACATATAAAAGAAAATTTTGTTAAGTTTTCTCTCTTTTATCATATAATCCTTAGTAAACTAGAGTAAATAAAAAGTAAACACTTTGAAAAGAAAAAAGTAAATGGAAAATTAAAACTTACAAAATGTACATGCTTATATTATTTGTCATGTACATGAAATGCAGTCAGTATCATTTGGATGAAAACCAATTTTTAGAATTGACACTCTTAGCAAGTATAAAAACTACAAAAAATGATGAATTATAATGAACAGAAGCATTTAGAAAAGAGGTACACAAAAATGAATATTTCTGTTGCTGGTAAACTTTTGTTTTTATGATGTATGATATTTTCCACCTTCTTAATGTGATTGGATTTTAAGTAGGAGTAAAGGCTACTCACCATAAACAGTGTTTGTTGTACTAATGCAAGACAAAAGTATCAACAGGCAGGCGGTCCAAGCTAGCCGGTCCATTTTGAATCTGAAAGAACAAAATGATTTTTGAATTAATTCTATTTGTATGAATAAAATGAGAGACTTTTGGTTTGTAATTTTGGTTTGAAATATTGTTAGAAAACAAATTATATACAGTATTATACAACATTGGAAAATTTTTTAGGGATTTCAACTTATCTACTAGGAGAAAGTGAAGGCTTTTTTGTTACAATTAGTATTAAAGTACTGAATGAATATAACATTTTTGAATTTATCAAAATTCTGGTATCTAATATGCTGTAGTTGTAAGTTAAAACAGTTGAGTACTTGTGTATCAAAACTTTTATGGTACACTTTTTTTCTATTTACATAATTGCAGAGGTAATATAAATTAGGAAAATCTAAATATATCCATCAGTTTTTAATGCAATTGTATACAACAATCTGTTCTATAATATAAAACACAATGTGACATATAATTATGAGACATACTTCTGATCTACTCTGATGGAGGTGAGATACTCCATTGTTATATTAACATAGACACAACTCAGTTATCATAACAAAAAGATTGGGTAATAAATTGCTTTTTTTATTTTGTTTGATGTTAGCTTTTTGAGGATATTTTATTTTAATGATTTAAAAAGCAGAATTGTTTTAAATTGTAAAACATCTCTATGTATCAGATTACTCATACAGAAAAAAGATACCCAAAATTGATTTAATAAAGCAATGAGTGTTGATAACAGAGATAATGGTACAACAGTATCATTAGATTCATTGTCATTAAACCCATTGTATCACTCTCATCAGTAAATTGTAATTTTTTGAATTTATGAAAGAAAGAAATTTAATTGGTATTATTTGGAAGTCATCAATGTTTGTGCTAACATAAAGTCACAAGTCATCATAACTGAAGGTTTGAGCATATTGGCCTTGTTCAAGAAATTGAAGATATCAGATTAGACTCTCACTCCCAGAAACTGTAACAGATCCACTCAGCATAGTTGTAGTATAAACAACAGATTTTCTATGTGGATTGAACAGATATCTGTTATGGAGTTTGGCTTGTCACCCTTGCAGATGGATATAGTCATAAATAAGTAATAGCTGGTCATTTTATTTATAAGTATTAAATTTATCAAAGCTTGATTTACAATATTTTTATTAGTAAAAATGGCAATTTTTTTGGAGCTAAACTTTATATTAATAAAAACTTTGGCTCTAAAATGAAAATATTTTACTTGTAACAGTTATTTTAGAAATAACTGGAAAATTGATAGTGTAAAAAAGACAATAGTCACTTTGGAGATTTTACTATTTTTCTTCAATAATTATTTTCAGGCAAAAGCATATCATTCAATAATGTTTCAATGCTCTGATTGCTGGCAAAAGACCACAATAAAAAAGAATGTATTGGATCTTGCATTAAGTGAGAATGTAGAATAAATACTTCCACTATAAGCAGAAAATTTTGCAGCAGCATGGATGACATCATTCTTATCTGAACAATGTATATCTACCATATACTCTTTATGAGTTATGAAAGAAATGAAACATGGTTACTTGAGAATCACAGGATTGATGTTTTAAATTTCATCTGAAGTGAATAACTGAATATTTCTATTATTTTATAGTTCATTCTTGTATTAAGCAAACTCTTAATTTATACTTGTAGGCATTCAACTTAAAATTACATTCATAATGGATTTAGTAATTTTTTCCTGTAAAACCTTAAATTTGAAACCTGAAGACAACAGATAAATATTAACAGTTTGCATGTTATATATCCACTCCTTTTATATTTAATATAAATGTTCACTTATTTAATCATTAGATATTATGCTGTAAACTTTTTTCCAAATGCAAAACAATAGAAATGAATAGCTAGATAAACTTTTCTTTCTTTCTTTCTTTCTTTCTTTCTTTCTTTCTTTCTTTCTTTCTTTCTTTCTTTCTTTTTTTTTCTCAATTTGCCAGTACAAATTATGCCAATATCTTGTATCCATGTAAAGCCATATGCTTCATTATGTTAAATAAAATTCCATAATTTTTATAATTGCAACTTCTGGCACCCAAATATGTGTTTATACTTTGATTTATAAAAAAAATAAAATTGTAACACAGACTATGTATTTCAATTGGCACAACATTAAAGATGATATAACAATAAATGATCACATCTACAGATCAATACATGCACAAATTCCAAAATATAGATTGAATCAACAGTACTAAAACCTCATATTAATACACTGTATCTCCTTCTAGAGCATTAACATAGGCCTGTCATCTAACATATATACAATTGTACAGATGGTGAATACCATTCTGCAATATATTAACAGATGTCTCTTATACCTACTTATTCAAAGCAACAAATATTGAAGATGGACTAACTGAATGAGACAAACATCATCTCATTATGCCTGATAAATGTTCAACAAAGAATAGTTCTGATGATTGAACTGACCAAGGAAGTTGTTGAATATCTTGCTAAGCATATTGAGTAGCATGACATGACATTATGTGGACTGGCATTATCCTACTGGAGCAACCCATTGCTTTTCTGTTCCAGATATGACAAAAGAATAAGCTGATTAATGTTCTGAGTCTACATGGCACTGTTCAAGGTTCCCACTATAACACTGTATGATGCCAGAAGTTGAGGTTATGGAAGAGGTTGCTCTCCACATCAATGTCACATTCAAATGACTTTCACTTTCATGAAAATAGAATCTGCTCTAAACAAGGGACAATGTAAAACACTATTTGATCCTCCAGGTAACCTTCTCATAACAGCATGTAAGACATGTATGATAGTATTGTGGTATAAGTGGTAGTCTTGTTAGATTAGAGGTACACAGGACTATAGTTTTGTTGCAAATAAATGATTCCAAATAGTTCATGTGATATTCTTGTGCTCACATTTATTAAGGTCTTATTGAAGGCTGCCATTACAGTGGGCTATGATAAGTTTTTAGTCACCCTTGATTACAGCAATTTTTGCTTGTGTAATAATGTCACTCCTTTTTTTTTCAGACTATACCATGTTAGTATTAAGCAATTCTCATTTACGAATGATAGTTGACTTATATTTTGCAATGAAAGTTCATGGAAGTAAGGAAATTGGTGAATTTCAATGAGGGCAAATAATAGGATGACATCAGTGTAGCAAGTCAAATAGAGAAATTGCTAGGTTTTTTCTGGTTAATCATCAAACGGTTAATAATATTGTCAAGAAATCTAATGAAGAAGGCCAGTATCATGTGGAACAACATTCAGGAAGACCAAGCATTGTGTCTGAGCGAATGAAAGGGCACTGAAAAGAGAAGTAATCAGAAACCATTGTCAGAGTGTCAAAGATGTCGCAAACAGCATGGAAATGTCATCATATGTGACCAGAAAGACTCTGGAAGAGCTTGGCTATCAAAGAAGAGTTGTAAGAAAGAAGCCCTTAATTTCAGAGGTTAACAAGAACAGGAATATGGACTGGGTGAGAGAATTTGAGAGCAAAGATTATGAATTTTAGCAGTCTGTAATTTGGTCAGATGAAAGTAAATTCTGCCAATATTCGAATTTAAGACAGGTTTATATTTGGAGAAATCAGAATGAGACTTGTAACACAGAATGTCTGCAGGCAACCATGAAACTTGGAGGGATTGGAGTAATAGTGGGAGGTGCTGTCTGGTTTGAAGAGAAATATGAGCTGATTCTTGTTGATGAGTGGTTTAATGGTCCAAAATACTGTCAAATATTAGAGAAAGGACTACTCTCACTATTTAAAACCAATCAGATTGACAAGAATATCTACTTTTTTTCAAAAAGATTGAGCACCATGAGCAAAGTAGCAAAGGCCTGGAAGGAATTGCAAGGAATCAAGTCACTGACATGGGTAGCCCAAAGTTCAGACATGAATCCAATAGAGCACATTTGGGAGCACCTTGACTGAAAATTTTGAGAGTGTGCAAATCAATATCACATCAGTGGCAACCCTTAAAGAAACATTGCTAAAGGAGTAGCAAAATATGGATCAAATAATTGTTGATAACTTGATCAAATCCATGAAAAATCAAATACAAACACTGAAATTAACAAATACTCCATACTAGTTCCAAATACTGTTTATTTATGTTGAATTGGGATTATGTAATTAAATATTGAAATTAGATGTAGTTTATTTCTTCTGGCTAAAAACTTTTCTTAGGCCACTGTATGAACTGAAAGACACATAAAGGAATACACATGTTGATTATCCTAAATAATATTTTTTCAGTTATGTAATACAAAATTTCTTTTTGCTTAAATAATGGACATTACCTATTACACGCACATACACACACATGTCTATATGCATGTACAACTACACACATACATACACACATGCACAAATACACACATGCACACATGTATATATGCATACATAACTACACACACATACACATATATTAAAATGCAGTTACACACACAAAAAATATTGGAACTGAGATTGATTTCAGTGATATGCATTTACTAGATCTTATGACATGAAGTGGAAGTTGAACATATGAAAATTTGCTAAAATTAAAGGTATTTAATAAAATCTGCTCTTTGTTTTAAGCAGATAAATATTTTGCATAAAATTTATTTAATTTTAGGTTAAATCTAAAATTACTTACCATATTTTCCAGTTTACAAGATGCATTTTTTTTCTTAAAATACCATGAAAAATATGTGTGCATCTTCCAAGACAAATGGAAGGCAACACCGAAGCTCAAATAAGCTTGGATGGTCACATAATTGTCTTGACTGATAAGGACATGGATTTATATGATGAGTCATCACACTATAATATTAGCTATCTATCTAATTCAACCTTTTATATGATCTAACCTCAGTACTTAGCTGTTACAAGTATTTTCAAGACCTGGAGCCGAGCCACAATCTTAAACAAGCTCTGTTTACTAGCAGTGGCGGGAGTCTTTCTGCTCTTAATTTTGATGGTGTAGGTTTGCTCACACTTTTATATTGTGAAAATATCACTTACCATCAGGCTGTCACATGTAT